GCCATTCTTATTTTCTTCCATGACACTTAAAGATTGTGAGTCAAAACCCAGTCCAGAGTCTAACTACTGTCCTCAGAATAACAACAAAGCACAGCAGCTGCTCCACAATACAGCTGAAGCCTTCAGTGTGCAGATGTGTGTATTTATATGTGTTTGTTTGTCAGGTGGTCGGGCTGGGTAACCCAGGGATGGAGGGTACCAGACACAGCGTCGGCATGGCGGTGCTCGGCGCGCTCGCCACCCGGCTCAGCGTGGATGACCGTTGGCGCCGGCAGACACAGCACAGTGCTTCCGGTTTGGAGGATTTATCGTAGTCAGACGGCTGACGAACGCAACAACGTGTTGCGCTTGTGCTGGCTCCTTGTCCCAGGGCAGCTGAATGAACCGTTCAACGGAGTCGTCAGCTTGGCCCAACAGCAGTTGGAGGTCACCGTCTGTGTGTGTGTGTGTGTCAACAGACTGATTGAGCTTAAGTGTTACGCAATTTTACGCAAGAGGTTTGTGTTTGCTTATTTTATTTATTTGCATTTGAGTATTTATGGTGGACTCTGCTTTCATATCCTGAATTTCTGTTTTTATCTTCTTGTCGTTTCCAGCCGTGCATTCTGTCACTAATTGGTTTTGATATAAGTGCTCTGTAAACAAATCTGATTCCTTTGTCTGTCCGTCTCTTTCTCAAGCACTTTTGTTTGCCATTTATTAAAAATTGCTTTTGTGGGACAAAGAATTAATTAAACAGAAATTAAATCAACAACAGCAGAATCACACTGACTCCGTACAGCATCAGTTTATATCAAAGCTGGGAATTACAAATGAATAAGGAATTTACTGAAGTGTGTTAACATCAGATTCTCTACCTAGAATATGATGGTCAGCTAAAGACAGCAGTAATAGCATTTAATTGTGTTTACGTTGTTACTACAGTCTCTTGACAGAGCTGAATAAAGTTCTTGTTTGTCATTAATGAACACATTTCTGGACTGCTGATGGATGAAACTGATTCCACATTTAATGTTTCCTCTAAAGTATCTGTTTGTTCTCCTCTAGCTCGTAAATATAGCATCAAGCCTGAAGACATCCTGCTGGTCCACGATGAACTGGACAAACCTCTGGGGAAAATCACCATCAAACATGGAGGAAGCGCCAGGTTGGTTTCATTCATCATGTTCTTGGGCTCCAGATACTGTCATTCGAAGGTCTGGAAAAGTAAAAGAAGTGAAAGTTATTTGTGAAGTTTTCAGTGTGTCATTGCGTTTTATTTCTGTGTAAGCATCAGGCCTGACTGCTGGTCTAGTTCCCTCAGAGAAACAATAAAAAAAAGTCCTATTCTGTGAAGTGATTGACAAGATTCAGTGGTGCAAAACTAAGCATTACTGTAGGATTACAGATAAAAGTGGGTAAAAGGCGTTTGAAAAATAACCTGAGAGGGCAAAATTAACTTTGTTCTTCTTCACAGAGGTCATAATGGAGTCCGCTCCTGTGTAGACTGTCTTCAGACTGATGTAAGTGACTGCACGTTTTTTAAGGGCAACACTACTAGTAAGATTTATTTTAGGTTTATTCTTGATTTTATTGTATTTTTACATTTGGGTTTTTATGTTTGAATAAATTTAAGAAATATATGTATACATTTATACTATATATACATACATAGCGAAATAAAATGAACATACATTGTGAAATACAACTGGAAAAACTGTGTATATATATGTATGTAGAACACAGGGAGGTGAAAATACAAATGCACTGCATGAAGAAAGTTCAGATTGGACTGAATTTCAACAAGTGCTTCCTGCTGAAATTCTACCGTTGAAACATTTAAAATAGTTGAAACACTGAAACAAAAGACACATTTTTTTGTTTTTAAAGCACAAAACAGTTGACTGAAGGTAGATTATGTGAATCTGTGTGTAAACAGTCTCATGTCCTCTCGTCTCTCCTCAGGTGATGCCCAGACTTCTGGTCGGGATCGGCCGTCCGACAGGGAAGACACCAGTGGACCGTCACGTCCTGGGCAAGTTCTCCTCAGATGAGAAGAAAGTTCTGGACTCTGTTCTAGTCCAGAGCGTGGACCTCCTCCTCAAACAGCTCTCTGAGCAAGACTCCCAACAGGACCCCCAGTCCCCCTCCTCACCAGCAGGGGGCAGACGCGCAGCACAGAAGAGGAAGGAGCCCTCGGCCTCTCCAGCTGAGGACTCTGCTGCTGCTCAGAGCTGAAGCTCAAAGTTTCTGAACTCAGGCAGAAAGAGAAATCATGAACCTTTGCAGAGAGATTATTTATTGAGAATCAAGAGGGAACGCTTTGACAAGAAGGAAATGCTTTCTAAAACAAAGCACTCATAAATGTATATATTTGACAGCTGAGGGGGTTGAGACAAGCATTGGGATTGATGAGAGAATATTATACAGTAAGTGATGTTACGCTGTCAGTGCAACAGAGGATGATACTGGACAGAGACCTGCAGAAAGACTCAAGCAGGCATGATGCATATATGATATATACCGAGATCACACTAATATATACTACGTATATATATATATACTGGAGTACTGATATTACTATCATATAACCTACCATATATATATATATATTTCTGTTACAGATGTATCACAGTAAATGTTATAAGCTATCAGCTGATACATCAGCAGCAGCAAACTATAATCACAGCACTGTTAGCAGTGATGTGTGGCCTCTCATACGTATCAACAGGGGACATTGGTAAACTCACACTGTGAAGGTTTTATTACTTAAAACAGACATTTTGATGTGTTTTGTTCTACAAATGTCTAACACTTTCATTCATTACCTCATATTTTGACATGGTGCACTTTACAGCTGTTGAACCAAACTTGAATTACTTTATCATGAACATTATCAGCAGGCTAGGAGGCCTGTACTGTACGAGGTGCTCTTCTGTAGTGTGAGCTCTGTGAAGTATTTGGTGCTGACATTAAACTGGAAATCAGATCTCATCTGTGTGTGTGTATGTGCATTATAAGTTAAAAGACTAACAAGACATTTTCTCCCAAGTGACACAGTTCGAGCAGGCTGAGAGTCAGGACTTGAGCTGAAAAAACAAAGATGTCTTTTTGAAGCTAATTTTTTCTCTTTTGTATCTAAAAGCGAGAGCGAGCCTCTCCATGCTGCTGTCACCCGAACATACGGTCCTCCTCACATACTGCTCTCTTCCATCTTGTCCTCCCTGATTTGGCTCTTTTGGCTAAAAACATATTGATTTCCCCTTCCGATTGTCACACTAATTACACTCTTCATCAATTAGGTGTCTTTAATGAGTTGCATCCAGTCAAGAGGCGCACTGCGTTCTCACACTGCAGAGAATGCCAGAGGAGGGAGGGTTCAACGGGGGAGGTGGTGGACAAAAAAAGCCAGAAAAGAGCATATAAAACAGCGGAAAGAGGCTGACGAGCTGCTGAATGAGGGAAATCAATACAAAGGAGGCCAGTAGATTGCGATGGAGGGCTGAAGAAGAAAGGCAGCAGAGAAACAAAAGGGGCCAAACATTGTTTAGACCCGGTTTGTTTGAGGCCTTCTGTCCTGCTGTAGCTCAGAGTCACAATAGCGGCAGGGACACACTTGTGGACATGAGGAGGAGGAGGTGGGGGGCTCAAAGGAAACTTCTACACTCGATGACACCCCCCACCACACACACACACACACCCTGAACACCCCTCACCCTCCTAAACCCCCGGTCTTTCTCTCCTGTGACCCCGTTGAGCCACCCTTCGCCTCCATCAGGCCACTTTCCCAGCCCCTCTTCGCTGGTCAGCTTTAGAAGGGCTTCACCAGCAGCTTCAATCACTTTTCTTTTGCTGGGGTCAGAGGTCAGCAGTGGGGCTGGACACCTGGGTCTTTAGAAGAGACCCTAAATTTATTCAGGAATGGCACCCCCAACCGCCCCCCATGCTCTACGGCCAAGCATAGCTGGGCTAACTGGCCTGGTGGGGGGTCTTCCCACATGTGTGCTAACTCTGCAGAAACACAAAACAATCCCACGAACACTGATGCTGGGAAGGATCATTAAGAAGAGCTATGTTAATGGAACATTAAGCTCTAATCAATATATTTTAGCTTCACTGGTGGTGTGGTTCTGTGGATGGCAATGTCTACCACATTGGTCCAGACTTAAAAACATCTATTGGATAGATTGCCATGAAATTTAGTTCCGATATTTCCCGCTGACTGAACCCTACTGACGATGAACCTCTCCAGAGCCTAGGTTGACATTTGTGTTTTTGAGTTTAATATCTCAGCAACTATAAAATGGATTGCCATGAAATTTGCTACAGATATTCAAGTTCCCTAGAGGATTAATTCTAGTGACTTTGGTGATCCTCCAAAGGTTTCACTCATCCAGTGAAATGCCTCAACACCTACCTGATGGAAAAAGGTGTTTGTGTTTGTAAGGATATTCATGGTCCCCAGACGATGTGCCAGCACCACCACAAGGTTCACATTAGTGTTTTACATTCAAATATCCAACTATTAGATGGATTTCCATGAAATTTGGTACGGACATTCATGGTTCCAAGAGGAACTGTAAAAACATTGATCCCCTAAACTTTCCTCTAGCGCCATTATCAGGTCACCTTGGTTTATGACCAAATACCCGGACTAGCTTCTGTTTGATGCTAATTACCAAATGTTAGCATGCTAACATGCTAAACTAACATGGTGATTCCTAACATCAGCAGGCTAACATGCTGACATTAACATTTACCTCAAGGTACCACTGTGCTACATGCTGCCTCACAGAGCTGCATGCATGGTCGTAGGCTCCCGTTAACACTAAATCAAATGACTGTTTGCTCATATTTTGGGCTTTACAGCTAACTTACTCTATGATTGAGGCGCAGTGTTAACAGCAGCAGCAGCTACAAAAATACTGTACACTACCTACCCAGCATCAACTGTCCCATCAGATTCACACTTTGACCAGACCCTGAACACAGTTGCCCCGTTTCCTTGACAACCTGTTGCACAACCAACCTGCTGCAGAGGCATGTGGTGTCCACATACAGACAAGAAAAGTGACTCTCAACCTGGGTCCCAGGAGTTTGAAGTCTAGTCTTACTGCAGACATCAGTGGTTCCCAAACTGAGGTCCAGGCACCAGTGGAGACGTCATTAGAAGTCGAGCAGTTCCAGTAAAACATATCTGAAGAGGACAACACTGACCTGATGATACCTGAAACCTGTTTTATTGGTCTAAGCTTATTGGTCAGTTTAAGGGTCCAGTATGTAACATTAAGGAGGGTCTATTGGCAGAAATAGAATATTCATAGGTATGTTTTCATTATTGTATAATCACCTGTATATAGGAATTGTTATGTTTTTGTAACCTTAGAATGAGATTTTTATATCTACAGAGGCAGATGGGTCGCCTTCCATGGAGTCTGCCATTTTGAACCACTATGTTTCTACAGTAGCCCAGAATGGACTTACCAAACACTGGCTCTAGATAGGGGCATTCGCTATGTTTGCACATTTCTCCGCCACTGTTGTGTCTTGGAAGGGGAGGGGGAAGCAACAGAGTTGCGATCATCCACAGTAGAGTGAAGTCAGCTTTGAACAATTTCAAACCAAGGTGTAACTTGTTCAAATTTAATTGAAAGCAACCTATGTGGTGTAACGCCATATATAGATATACATCTTACCATTATTGATGGCTTTTTTATGAGCTTCTGGGAAGGTTGTACAGTTGACACCTCACTCGGGTTGCAGCTTGCAGGTGAGTCCTCACATTCTTTGTGGTTGCAGAATACAACATCTACTTTTCAGTCGGCAAACAGTCTAATCTTTGTTGGTAAATTTTTCCATCTACAATGAAGAACCCAAAATGCTTGAACACACTGCCTCTCAGATGCTTTGGTGTCATGATTATCCAATCATGAGCACAGCTTTGCTCGCTAGTGTTCACTGTCAATGGGGCATGCACACTTAAAATTTGTACAGGTCACAGCTCAAATATTATTTTTTTCTCCTGTTGGAACAAAAGTTCAACATTCAAATAAAAGGATTCAGCCCTACTACCTTTTGAAATGTATTATGAGAAGTGTAGGATCCAGCATTGTTGAAGCTGCAATCTCAAAGTGTATTTATATATATAATAATTTAATATATACATAGTGTTTAGTGTATATAGTGTCCTCTTATTGTCAGCTTTTGTAAGTACATACAGTAGAAATAAGGTTCAAATTTAGTGCTTGTTCCCTCTAACTGTATTTATATTTAATTCAATTCAATTTCCTATAATATTTCTTACATTAACTCATAGTGTCCCTATGGCCTAGAATAGTGACCCTACTGTGCTTCATGTTATTTTTATCCCCATCGGTTTTAAGGTAACCCACATGATGTTTCTATAATGTGTCTGGAGGGACTAGTAGTTTATAGTGACGGTAATGTATTTTATCTCTTGGTGTATTACTGTAATGTTCCAGTAGGGACCTGTAGTGTGTGTAAGTGTCTTTCATTATCACTACAGTTTCTTTTTTCATGAGGCTTCTGTTTTTTTCCCCCCAGCATCACAGAATAGACTGAAGCCACTCTGGTTTCCCATGGCAGAGCCGTGTGTTACAGTGAATCCAGGTCCGTTGGGGATCCTTTTCTCATTCGTCTCTTTCCGATGAGCAAGCATTAATAACGCGTCCTTTTCCCCTTTCATAGCCATAATCTCCAGTGATCTCGGGCCTCCCGCACTAAATTATTCTTACAGGGCCATGAAAAGGCAGCAGCGGGGCCCTTTAAGAGGCAAATGAGCATCCAACATGCAAAGATGTTCCCAGCAACGGAAATGTTAACTCACCGTACAGAGCACAGCAGAGCAGAGGGAGTCCACTGACATGTCTGATGAGAGGAGAACGAAGGGTCCACCATCGCCCAGAAGGCAAAGCCTGCTGGGTAATTTATCCTTTAACCCCTTGTCTAACTGTTTACATTTGGCTTTAAGCTGATGGTTTTATACAGAGCTGCAACAGTAAAGATTCACATGCTGGATTATCACCCTGTGATCCACGACTGAGGCCTTAGAAGCCGCTGCAGATACCAATCATTTCATGATTCTACCATTTCAAAATGAATGTGTCTAAACAAGAATTACGTTCTTGTGAGGCCTCATATACAGCATTCAGGTCATAGTGAGACAATTAAACTCGCAACTAAAAACTAAAGTGAAGAAATCCCTTTGTGGTGAGCTCTTTCTGGGTTAGTGAAACCAAATACTGGCAGCAATATTTAGATACATTTTAGCTTTCACCTAGCACAGCATTTCTAGAAATTACATTCATATTGGACAATTCTGCATCTCATGAAAAAATGTTGGCACTGAATGTTAAAAACTTACAACAACTTACATTGTATTGTAATTGTACCTCCACACAGCTGGCTAATCGCTGCATAAAGTAGGTGTGATAGTCAGACTTTTTGTTTCGGAAAGTTACAAACATTGTCAGACACAGCTCCCCCAGTTCCAACAG